ACACACCCAACACCAACCCACACACACACACACCCCCCACACAACCCACACACACACACACACACACCCCAACACCACTCCACACACACACACCAACACCCCACCCACACACACACACACACAGACACCAACCCACACACCCTCGACACCACCACACACACACACACACACACACCCCACACCACCCCACACACACACACACACCCTCACACCACCCTCCCCACACACACACACACCCGAACACCACCCCACACACACACACACCCTCTCAACACACCCCACACACCCACCCACCCCACACCCCACATCACCCACACACATACCCCCAACACCACCACACACCACCCCACTCACCCACACACCCACACACACACACACACACACCACACCTCATTCCACCCCACACCCCTACATCACCCCCACACACCCTCAAACACCACCCTCACCCCACATCACCCACACCATCATCATCCATACATCACACACACACACACCCACCCCCCAACATACATACCCAAACATGACACCCTCCCCACACACCCACATGCACTCCAATACCACTCACACACCCCTCAAGGGAATTAAGACAGCAAACATAAGGAGTGAAGGTCTTATTGTGTGACAAATTTGCTGTGTGACTGAGTTAAATATTAGCTGTTGAGAAGCGCTTGGCAACACTCATTTCCACTCCATCTTTCTAATCACCCACACCTTTCTGCTTTCTCACTCCACTGTTGAAGGGATAAAAGTTTGCTCATTTATGCTTATCACAATCTCTCTAAAATACTTTAACTTTCATGTTTATTCAAGACATCTTCAGGTCATGAGACCCACTAATCCTCCACCCAAGAAAGGGCGACCTGACATTCCATCAGAAGGTCTGTCATATGAGACCACTAATCCTCCACCTGACATTGCATCAGGTCAGGTACATGAGACCCAAGACTTCCCCACAGCTCCATGGGAGTGGAAAATAAGTCTTTGCTGTAACACACAGCATCATTCATGCCCATATCATGTAGATTTTTAATTTTCAAATATATTTATTTAACCAAACCTTTAGATAAACTATTCTGGATTATTATAGCAAAGAAATGGAGTTTCCAACTTCATTAGAACTGTATTTACGGACTCTGGTAGTTTAGACTCAAGTAAAACATCCCCAGCACCCAGAAACATTCTGGGGAAGTGGGCTAGTGTCTGTCTGTGCAAGATGTCTGGCTTAGACACTCGGAAACTTTTCCCAGTAACCGGAAAAGATTCCGGGGATAAGAAAAACTTCCGGGTTTGAGAAAGTCATTTGGTTAGCTGGAAATCTCTCATCGCCGGAAGAGCTCTGCAGCAAATTTTCCAGCTAACAGGGATATCTTCAAGTCTCAGATCTGATAAACTGACAAATGTCCTAAATTTTGATTTTGTGAAATCTCAGATCACGACTACAGGTTGAATCATTTTCACCGGGGAGACATGTTCAGTTCATCTGGTCTGAGATTAGAACGACATCTATCAGAAATAGCACAAGTCTAACACAACATAAATTGAGGATGAATGGATTAAGGTGAACACAAAGCTGTTGCAACTGTTTGACCTCACATACTTTACAATGGTACTGGTTTAACAGGTCGGCCTTTTGTAAGAACTCAAGAGAAAAATGGCAATATTCATGACATCTGTACAAGATGCATTTGGGTGAGAATTAATAGGACCAAGTTGAAAGATTGCACAGTTTATATAAATTCTATATCAAAGTGTAAGAATCAGTGAAGATCGGTTCACTAAGTAACATTGAATACCTGCTAAGGGTAAATAGATTTACTGTTTTGTCTTGCTTTATGTATTCCATGCTGTGTAGATAGAAACAAACTACAGTCATGCGCCGGTTAACGTCCAACCGAACAACGTCCAATCGCATATATGTCCGTGGCCCATGAAAAAAAAAATAATAAAAGCTTCCGTGACGCCTGCTGGACCACCACTCCACGACCCCCTGACAGAGACACGATGATTCTCCCCATACTGGCCAGATATTGTGTGTTAAAGGAATATCCTTCCTTCCTTAGGCTTTAGTAAGCCCCTTTATAATATTTATTATAGTCATCCCTTGGTTATAGCGCAATTGGTTATCGCAATTTTCGTTATCACGCCTCCATCAAAATCTGCACACCTGCCATTATAGCGCATTTTTCAGGCCGAGAATTTGGTTATCACGCATTTGCCTCTAGGTGTAATGTTAACCTACATCTATTGAGGATAAAATCTTTCACCTACAAATTGACAATAACACATTTGCTGTAATCAGATATATCTAGTTGCCTCAACAATTGCAACTCCAGTTGCAATTGAGGTTGCATTTTCAAATTCTGTGTCATAACTAAGGAATAACGAAGTCTCTCGTGCACTCTAAGATTGAGAGAAAACGAAGGACTCGGGCGTCCTGAAGCGAGAGAAAACGGACTCCTATGATGGGGGACTCAAATAAAGAAAGACATAGCTACATGTTTTGTGGACTACAGTATTGAGCATACCCTTTTCATCACTTTGTAATAAACCTAGCCAAGCCTATGTGTGTTTATGATATTTACCATAACATTACATATATATATACAGTAATACCCCACTTTACACGGGGTTTTTTACGCGTGTCTACATTTACGCAGTACCCTGCCAGAACCGGAATTCCCACTTTACGCGGTGCATCTACTCATATACGTGGGTGAAGTATAATTTTTTTTATTTAGCTCATAAAATTCATACAAATTACCCGGCCAGAATATAATTTACATTGCTGGAATTCTTACAATTTGATGATCATTTTGAACATAAACATCATAGATTTTGCATTAGACATACAAATTTTAGAAGTAAGAATTTTGTTTACTCAGAGCAAATATGTTATCTTTTGTGCAAAATATATGACGTGTATATTCAAAATATTCCTGGTCTTGCAAGGAATCCAGCAATGTCAATTATATTATCCTAACTTTAGTTTGAGGTATTATTTATTACTATACCTTAAAATCTAGTGTTTTCAAACAAACATTTCTCAGAGAGGGAGGTGCCAGCGAGCGTGGGAAGAGAGGGGTGGGGGGGTTGAGTCCATTATTTGAATGGACATTAACCTGGCGACTGTATTTCTCTTAAATATTAATTGTGTGTGCGTACCATCATGAAATTAAGATATTTTTACTAGAACATATGTTCTGTTATTCCATTTACGCGTTTCTCTGTGGGTTCAATTGACCGCTTAAATCGGGGTATTACTGTATATATTAAGTGAGTCTAAATGGTCGTAAAATGGCAAACTTGGGGTTGGGTCTTGGGTGCCTGGAACCAATTAGAATAAATCCCATAGTTTCTGTACTTTCGTTATCGCATTTTTCGTTATCACGCACTCGGCGGGGTCCCAATTAGAAGTGACATACTTGTGACACTTGCCAGTTGTTTCTGGTGTTGTGGTACAGGGGTACCTAGTGACAGCACTAGGATCCCACTTCCTCTATCAAGGAATAAACAATTGAAATAGAAATTTGAAAAAAACAAAAACAAAAACATTAAAATAATGGGATGTAGCGAACGTAAGTGGCTCTAGAGCGGGTGCAGTCACGTTTGCATCACGTATACATCGCATATTCTTATAGATTGTGCTGCCAGGCGTATTATGTTATTTTATTAGCCTTCCTAACCTCTGTGTTTCATTAGTTGTGTACGTTATCTAGTGAATTTAGTCAATATTGTACAGTACAAGTACACTGCAATACAGTGGTCCCTCGGTTAACAATGGACCTAAGTGCAAACCTGTACTGTACATGTACTACATGATTACGGTACTAAAATTGTTATGTCTATTGCAAATATAGCTTGTTTATATTTAAATAAATCACTATCTTACAAGAATCCCAGCAATGTAAGTTATATTCACCCAGGTTGTTTGGGTGGCAAATTATGAGAAGAGCTTAGTCACTCTTAAGGAATGATAAATAAACACGCAGGCCTTCAGCGCCAACTGTCAAATCATATCACCTTACCTCCCGCTCCCCTCCCCCCAACGCTCCCTCACGTGGGGGGTTTTAGGCCTTAAGTTTTTCATATAATATCTCAGACTATAGGAGAATATAATTTGCATTGCTCAAATCCTTGCAATACAGAGATTAATTTGAATATAAATGTCATATATTTTGCTCAAGAGATAAAAATTGTAGTACATTAGTGTACAGTACTGTAGTACATTTTATAATATAAATTTTTTTCAACTGTATTTTTGGGTAGATTTACATAAATTTCTTCATTTATTTTCATCCATTTACATGCACACACCATACTAAAAGAAACATAAAAGAAATAAAAGACTTTAGTGCAAAGCTGGAGTGTACATGTACGAATTTGATTACGGTACTAAAATTGTTATGTCTAGTGCAAATTATAGCATGTCTATATTTAAATTAATCACTATCTTACAAGAATCCCAGCAATGTAAATTATATTCACCCAGGTCATTTCACTGGCTTTTTATAAGAGAGAACCTTAGTCACTTAAGAACTGATAAATAACCACACGTTAGACCTTGGGCCTGTGCCAACTGTCAAACGTACTACCTCACCTCCCGCTCCCCTCCCCCCCACGCCCCCTCCCTCCCTCCCTCCCTCCCTCTCCCTCATCTGCCCAGCATTGCTGGAATCCTTGTAAGACAGTGAATAATTTTAATATAAACGTCATGTATTTTGCACAAGAGATAAAAATTAATCCCCTGTATCACATTAAAGTTGTGATTTAAGAGAAAGAGTGTATACATACGTATATATTATTCCACATGCACATAAGTATAAAGACAAAGTTTATGTGATGATCAGACAACGTCCATTTCGGTTAACGTCACATTTCCAAGAACGTATCTACTATCCAGGACGTTAACCGGCGCATGACTGTAATGTCAGGAAGAGTAAGTAATAAACAAGACCTCCCTATGCTTGGGCCCTGGTTAAATAGATTCCCAAAAGTCTTACCGTAACTCGAATGCGTGACTTCACATCTCTAAGTTCTTGCCGTAGCCCCTCAGTAAGAGCTCTTACAGCAAACTTTGTGGCAGCATAGAAGTGGGTCCTAAGACTTTGTGAGACTCGGTGACCTGATAAGCTGCCCAGAGTTGAAAGAAACCGTAAATTCACGAGTTAGATGTGATCAAATGATATACCATAATACATTTTATGACATACATGACAGATGTTTATGGTACAGAACAATAAATACAGTCATACAAAACTAAACAGTTTCATGAGAATGATTTATACCTTTACTGGAAATATTGATATTTCAGGTACAGTGGTCCCTCATGTTTTGTGGGGGTTACGTTCCTGATATTACCGCGAAAGACCTAACCCGTGAATGCTCTCTTCTGGATTTTCACTTCCATGTAATATTCAATATTATAAACTATAAGTTTCCATGTTACAATGAGAGTATTAATGTATCAATGAGAGTGAATTTGAAGTGAAACTCCCCCACCCCCCTCCCCCCTGTAACTGCCTTTATCTCATTGCACCTGTGTTAGCCATCTGTATCCCGCTGTACTGCTATACATAAGACCACTGTGAATAAATGATTACAAAAACCTAAGGGGAGTTTCACTTCAAATTCACTCTCATTAATACAACATCTTGAATGTATTGTAACATGGAAACTATGCAGAATCTGACATTTTACCAAAGAGACATTGTGGTTTAGAATTATCCAAGGATTCCATCCTCCAATTTAATGTACTCTTTGCTGAATCACCCTGTATAGAGTATGGCAGTGGAAGCGAGTGAGACAGAGGAGAGGCGGGAAGCTACACTCTGCTGTAGTGACACCTGGCAGTTTCTTGCAGAAATTCATTTGCACGTGCAATTCAACTGTACTATTGTTCACTACAAAACTGTTAAGCATTTTCATACTGAGCTTGCAATTTGTCACAAAACTTACCGTATATCACGGCCTATAAGGCGGCGGGGTGCATAAGACGCCCCCCCCAAATTTCCATTTAAAAAGTAGCTTTTGAGCTCTATTTGCTGTATAAGACCAGTACCCCAAATGTGACACTTACCCACTGACTCAGTAGTCCTTTACCAACCATCCTTGATTTTTTAAAATAAGGCCAATTCACTTCAAGTAATGTCATCAAATTATACCCGCTGGTGTAGTGTAAACACTAGTGACGTCACTGAAGCGTGGTGGGAGTGTTCCCTCGTCTCGGTGGTGTGGTGTTCCGACTATTTATACAACATGTGGTTCAACAGCAACCACCGTATTCTAATTGTGGTGTTTCATTAGGATTTGAGTGAAAAAGGTTACCAGTATGTACTTACTACATACATTTATTACACATATATATATATATATATATATATATATATATATATATATATATATATATATATATATATATATATATATATATATATATATATATTACTATATATATATATATACATTTATTACACATATATATATATATATATATATATATATATATATATATATATATATATATATATATATATATATATATATATATATATATATATATATATATATATATATATATATATATATATATATATATATATATATATATATATATATATATATATATACTATGTACAAAAAATGAATGTTCAATGAATTATTTATGGTGCATTAGGGTACTGGTCACTTCTGATGGGCTATAAATAGCTTGTTATCTCCCCTCCATCTCACCCTGAGCCAGACGGAAGGGTCTTGGTAAATAACATGTTTGCTTATTTTCCATTTACTTTAAATAGATTTACCGAATTATTTGTTTTATTTATTTATTTATAATATACTGTAATATATTAAACACACTGTAATTATTTTCTTTAATTTATAAACTGTTTTGCGACAAAGGAATGTTCTCCAGTAGTGTTTCATTAGGATTTGAGTGAAAAAATATTACGTACTTACACAATTGTTCCTCTTACTTTGACAACACAACATACATACAGTATATTATTTCTCAGTTTTGATCTTTTTTTTTAATTTTTGTATTTATTTATAGTTAGTTACTTAAAATAAGGCCAATTCACTTCAAGTAATGGCATCAAATATTACCAGCTGGTGTAGTGTAAACACTAGTGACGTCACTTGAGCGTCTGTAATTAACCGTCGATAGTTTCAAGAATTAATGCACTCATTTACTGAATATTCTTTGGAAAAAAATAAAATTTAGATCAATTATTTATAGGAGATAAATATTATTATGAGTAAATATACCGATACCGGTATGCATTACTGACCACCTCCACGGCTAAAAATAGCCCAATCTCGGGTCACTTTCCCTTTCTTGTCTCCTCACTGGCAAATGGGGGGGGCGTGGGGAGGGGTGTGTGATGATAGCTGTGTTTATTACAGGGGTATAAATCTCTTTTACGGTATGTTAGACAGGTTTATAATACATTTTTATTATTTTAATATACCGGTAATCTTAATTTGAATCCAGCTTGCCAGACGTAAGTTTCAGTATAAAATAATTAGTGGTAAGACCTTGTGAGTGGCTTACGATGTTTTCATCACCACTCTTGACACACTAAACCACAATATTTAAGAGGTAAGAATTTTAAACTTGGTGGTTTAGACGACCCCCTAACTTTGGGCAGATTTTTTTAATGTTCAAATTTCGTCTTATAGGCCGTGATATACGGTAGTTTTCTTTAGCAAAACACTTAGTTTACCTGCTAATATGGATGATATGGCCATCAACAACATTGCGTTCACGCATTGATGCCACAGCTTCACGTGTGCACAAACAAAGTCCCACAACGTTGACGTCTAACATCTCACGCCACTCCTGTGGTGTTCCCTCTGTTGTTGAACAATAAAAAAATATACCAACTAATAAATACACAGGTGCAGATTGTTTCTATTATATTCCTGAAATATGAAAAATATTTAATAAGAATTGTGTATCCACATAGATTGCTAAAATAAACTTAAAACTGCTTTTGAACCTCTTTAATCCGACATTTTGTAGTCCGGCACTATCTGAGGTTCAGACAATTTTAGAAATGTCGGTTCTCTCACCCATGGTCGGGAAAGGGTATCAATTGACAGGAAAACAGAATCAACTATTGAGCTAATTCATCTACAGTATGCTATAGAGCAGAGGACCTTCTTGATAACCCAAGAGTTTACCAGCATGTACCAGCTGCAGTCAAAATTCATTGAGAAAAGCAAAGCATATGAAACAAATCAATTTGCAAAATATTTTTATGAAGACTAAGGCCAAATCAAGGCAGGTGTCACAGTGTAGCACTGAAGACCCACAAGAATCTGCTTCAACTGCATCAGAACCACACCTGTCAGTACCCCAAATTTACATGTATTACCAAGCAAGGATTAATTCAGCCATGTAGAAATTAAGAATAACCACTCTAGAAGCAGAAATACTTCTGCAATAAGAACATAAGAACATAAGAAAATAAGGAGTCTGCAATAGGCCGGTTGGCCTGTGCATGGCAGCTCCTGTCAAGAGTTACTACCACTCTCTATCATCCATGAATCTATCTAGCCTCCTTTTAAAACTTTCCAGCATTCCAGCACTTACTACAAAGTTGCTAAACTTGTTCCACTCGTCCACCACCCTATTTGTGAACCAGTTCCTTCCTATCTCCCTCCTAAACCTAAACTTATCCAACTTAAATCTGTTGCTACGAGTCCTATCCTGCTCGGATATTATAAGAACTTTATCTATATCACCTTTATTGAGTCCTTTCACCCACTTAAATACTTCTATCATGTCTCCCCACACTCTTCGTCTTTCTAGGGAATGCATGTTTAGTTCTTTAACCTATCTTGATATGGAAGGTTTCTATGTCCCGGAATCATTTTTGTCATTCTTCGCTGCACCGACTCCAGTGAATTGATATCCATTCTATAATAAGGGCACCAGAACTGAACTGCATAATCGAGGTGCGGCCTGACTAATGCAAGATATAGTTGCAATAAGACCTTTGCACTCTTATTACTTACATTCTGGATATAAAACCTAATACAATACTCTGTTTGCCTTATTTCGAACATTAACGCACTATTTTCTAGGCCGTAGGTCCGGGCTTACAAGTACCCCTAAGTCTCTTTCACAAGTCGACCTTTCTAGGTTGATGTTGTTAAGAATGTATACATTGACAGTACTTGTTCTTCCAATATTAAGTATGCTGCACTTGCTGGTGTTGAATTTCATTTGCCATTTCTCTGACCACTCCTGCAGTTTATTTAAATCCTCCTGCAGTACATTTGCATCCTGCCCTGAATTAATCTGCTGCCCGATTTTGGTGTCATCCGCAAACTTGCTTATGTCACTGCTGATCCCAGTATCTAGATCGTTTATATAGATTATGAACAAGAGTGGGCCCAGTACTGACCCCTGGGGAACCCCACTGGTTACACAGCCCCACTCTGATTTAACACCATCTACGCTGACCCTCTGTGTTCTATCGGTGCGCCACGATTTTATCCAATTTAAAACTTCCCCTCGATACCAATTAGGGAGTTAATACAAGCACCCTGTACTTATTTTCTCCTCTACTATTTCATTCATTTCAAGTTGCTGTATTCTTAAGTGTTTCAGAAAATTTAATCATTCAACAAGAGGTCAGGTCCAAAGGTTGCTTTATTAGATAGGTTCAATTTTATCAACATTTCAAATACTCTATCCTGTAACTCCAGAAACCAACCATAAAACTAGATGGATCTCGTGAAAATTTGAATTCCCGCTTATTCCACCTGATAAAATATCCTAAGGCTAACCAAACATAATTTAACCTATCTTAAAGCAACTATTTACAGTAGAATCCCAGTTGCTGAGTGACTCCAGCCCTTGGAAGTCATCATTAATAAAGAAAATAGGTCAAGCAGTTATACACGTAGCGAAGTCAGGAACAGACCACTTAAAACACATCAGTGGAGGATACTGGTGAAAAAAAGACTCTTGACAACCAACAAAGAAGGAAGATACAAAAGTTGAGGTTAGTGAACAAGAGCCAAAATTGTACTGTAATATGATGACAAAGAAAAGGCTGATGGCATGAGGAGTTCTTAAAGAAGTACTCTTATACAATATATGTCAGAGACATGAACAAGCCGGAAAAGATGACCATATCACTACACAAAAAAATGGTTCTGGTGAGTGACTGTTACATCAATAGCAACATGTTTATTAAATACAATAGTTATAAGATAACAATGGATTACCAAGGTCACAGCTGAAGTTAGCAATGATCACACAATATAAACAGAAAGACATGACTGTGTGCATAAGACAAGTAATATTAAGATGTTAGTCAAAAGAAAATGCTGAAGCAAGATAAGAGAAGGTATTTTACAAAACAAATGTAAGAAAAACATAATGTCCATTCATCTACACACCCAGGAGAGAATGATTATGAGACATCCCAGCGTTGTTGATACACACATCGACCCCTCCAAACTTTTCCTTGATGGAAGCAAAGAGACTGAGGATGTCTGAGTCCTTGGTGATATCACACTTGATTGCCGTCAGAGATCCAGGTTTGTTGGCCAGTTCATTAGCTAGAGCCTACAAAATTACATGAAGATTATTACACAACTAGATTATTTTAATAAATATATTCAGATAATACAGTACCACAAATGGGTACAAAATAATGGCTTACTGCAATGATAAATTAGGGAAAACCTTCAACAGTAGTTATTATTCATATCATGTAACAAACATACCAGTAAGCTCATCTTATTTTAAAATATGTTCCAAACTTAAATACATTATACTGTATTGTGAGATGGAGTACCATCGTACGATATATTTTCCCATGTGTGGAGGCGGGAGTTTGTCTGTGGCAACGCCGGGTTGCCAGTCACTGTCTGACGCTGCAAGAATAAAGTCTGCAAAGAACCTGATCTATTATTCAAACCTCTCACATGGCGCAGTGAGTAAGATGCCAGGGCCCGACGAGGACGCCAACATGGCCCCTATATGTCCACAATTCTCGACGCCCTCAAGGGGACGCCAGGGCATCTCTACACCGGTGGGCAACACCAGGCGCACCCAGCAGCAGACCATGAGAGCATTGATGGCTCAGATGGCGTCTCTAGCTACTGGCGGCCACGATCATGCCCCTACACCAGTTATGAAGCCCTCAGCAGCGGTCACTCCATAGAAGTGTGAGGCAGAAATGCCAGCAGCGGCGTTTAGGACTTGGAGGCAGTCCATGGAGTCGTGGGTGCTGTTGAACGGATGGTCACAACTGGTGGCCACACTCCACATTCGCCTGAACTGCGTCCCTGCACCCCAAAGGGTGATTGACTCGAGATATCCCAGCAGTCAGTGGGAGAAGCTCTTGCCCAAGGAAGCCCTGGACGCCATCAGTGGAGTAGTTCTTTAATCGTTAAACCAAGCTGTGAAATGGAACAAGTTTTTCAACAGTGAGAGATGCTGGTGTACTGTGTCATACGTCTGGCCAGGCAGTGGCGGGAACAGCCACGGAGGCAGCGGCGGTTGGTGATGACGTCACGGGTGAGTCTGAGGTAGCTGCCGCCCGACCTGGACACCCCAGCCCCACGCACTGTGGGAACTGCGGCGTGACACATGCCTCAGGCAAAAGCAACTGCCCTGCAAGTGGGGCCACATGTCGCAATTGCTCTAAGGTTGGTCACTTCAAAAGGTGTTGTAGGAGTAAGACAGTCCTAAGTGCTTCTGTGGATGTGTCAGGTGCTGTCACAGTGGCAACAGCCCATCTATCCCGCCACCCCAAGTTACAAGTGTCCGTGACCCAGGCTGGGGGCAATTCCCCCGCCACCCCTGTGTTGGCTGTGGCTGACACGGGTGCTATGGTGTGTGTGGCAGGGGCATCCCTGCTCCGGGACATCGGTTTGTGCCCGGGGCAACTTCGGGCCCGTATTGGCCTGAGGGGCGTGGCGAACAAACAGCTAAAGTGTCTGGGGTCCGCCCCTGCCGCCTCAGTGTGGGCGAGGGGTCCACCATCCAGAAGGTCTACTTCGTGCAGACAGCCAAGGCCCTCTACCTGTCATTGGAGGCCTGCAAGTGCCTCAACTTGGTGCCTGTCGACTTCCCGCTCCATAGGCGTGCTATGGCTGCTGTGGGCAATGGAGGGGGGCAACACACTGCCGACGACCTACCTCCGAACCCTGGACCTGAGAGCAGTCGTGTCCCTCCTAGGCCAGTTGAGATACCCTTGCCTCCGTTGGAGGAGAATGTGGCCAGGTTGGAGGCATGGCTGCTCACGCACTTTTCATCCACCGCATTCAACACCAGCAGTTCCCCAATGCCAGTCATGACTGGTCCCCCTAACTGTATCCACCTGACGCCCGGCTTGAACCCCTATGCCTGTCACACACCTGCATCATTCAACATGGTGTTTGGGGTGCCAGTGCACTCATTCAAAACAGTTGCCAATGCCTTCTGGGGATTTCGTCAGGTGGAGTTGGAGGAGAGTAGGCACCTGACCACATTCATCATGCCGTGGGGCCGTTTTCGATACTGCAGGACGCCCATGGGACATTGTTCAGCGTCAGATGCCTACACCAAGAGGTTTGATGACACTATTCAGGATGTGCCCCGCAAGTACAAGTGCGTGGATGACACTCTCCTACACGCTCGCACAGGTATCACACGGAAACCAGAAAGGTTCTTGTTCTGCAGGAGAGAAGCAGAGTTTGTGGGTTTCCTCCTGGGGTGGGACCTCTACCAGTGCACTGCCCAACGTCTGTCAGCCATCAAGGACTTCCCCATGCCTGATCAGCCATCAATCACTGACATCAGGTCCTGGCATGGCCTGGTTAACCAGTTGGCTCCCTTCCTTGCCCCTGCACCTGTGATGGAGCCCTTCCGTGAGCTCCTCAAGAAGCCAGTGGGCAAGCGGGTGTATTGGGACGACCAGTTGCGGCTCAAGTTTCGCCAGGCACAGGACACCATCTGTCAGTTAGTCAGGGGTGGCTTGGTGTACTACGACAAATCCAGGCCTACGGCAGCTGTCATGGATTGGAGCTGGGAGGGCATCGGCTTCGTCGTCCTGCAACAATACTGTGCCTGTGCCTCGCCATAGATGCCCTTCTACTGCAGGGGAGGGTGGCGGTTGGCTGTGTGCGGTAGCCGAATTCTGAGCAGGGCCGAGGCCGGCTACGCTGCAGTAGAAGGGGAGGCCCTGGCTGTGGTATGGTGCTTGCACAAGGCCAGGCTGTTTCTCCTTGGCTGCCCAAACCTCATTCTGTTGACGGACCACCGCCCCTTAGTTGGCTTGCTAGGGGACAGAGCCCTGGTGGATGTGGCGAATCAGCACCTGTTCAGGCTCAAGGATAAGACCCTGCAGTTCAGGTTCGCAGTCAAGTACTTGCCAGGGAAGCGGAATTGTGCAGCTGACGCCCTATCCCGCTTCCCCTCCCTCAGGGCGGCGCCCGACGCGGAGGACATTGTCCAAGAGGAGGACCTGTGCGCTGCAGTGTGTGCAGTCACAATCACAATACTAGATCAGGATGGGTGCATCACTATGGACGAAGACACAGTATGCAAAGCGGCTGCGGACGACCCAGTATACCAGATTCTAGTGTCGAGGGTGCTGGCGGGTGACTGGCGCCCCCATAAGTCACAGGAGGTGGCCTGTCTGCGCCCGTACTTCTCAGTGAGGGACAGGTTGGCTGTGGTCAGGGGTTTGGTCACCTACACCTTTGACCAGGGCTGCGTACGCCTTGTCAACCACGACTCCCTCCGCCACCGGGTCGCCGTTAACCTGCACGTGGGGCACCAGGGCCTCGACTCAATGCTCATGCGGGCCCGGCAGTCTGTCTATTGACCTGGCATGGAGGGTGACCTGCGGTATCATCAGTCCCGGTGTGCTGCTTGCGAGACCCACGCCCCTTCCCAGCCTCCGGAGTCGTTGGTCTTGACCCCAGTGCCAGACTATCCCTTTCAACAAGTGGTGGCCTATTTGTTCCACCTGCAGGGCCACACGTACCTAGCATATGCTGACCGACTCACAGGTTGGCTGGAGATCGCCCACTTCCCCAACGAGGCCACCAATGGAAAGATCATCGCCCGTCTGCGGGGTTACTTCACGAGGTGGGGGGCACCTGAGTAGATCTCCAGGGATGGAGGTACCAACCTTGCCAGCCTTGAGATGACGGATTTCCTCAAGTCATGGGGGATCGAGGTGCGCTTCTCATCGGCCCACTTCCCCCAGTCCAATGGCAGGGCAGAGGCGTCAAGGCCGCCAAGAGGCTCCTCAGGGATAACACTGGGCCCGGGGGTAGCCTGGACTGCGATAGGACATCCCAGGCCCTCCTCCAGTACCTGAACACACCTCTGCAGGGGGGTGAACAAGTCAGTCGCCCGCCCAACTTGCCACCGGCCGCCAGCTCCGTGACGGCGTTCCCGTGGCCAGACAGCACTATAAGGTGGACCAGCACTGGTGGCGGGCACTTCGTATGAGGGAGGTGCGCTTGGCCGAAACCAAGGACGGGATCCTTCTGGCGCAGGGGGAGGTGTCCCGACAGCTGGCTCCCCTAGCTGTGGGCGCGCAGGTGCGTGTGCAGGACGCAGCTACCAAGCTCTGGGACAGGACTGGCATAGTGGTGGAAGCCCGCCCTCACAGGCAGTATGCCGTCAGGTTGACTGGCAGTGGCAGGGTATCCATCCGCAACAGACACCACCTGCGATGCGGCGCCACCCATGCCTACCACTCCTGTGGTGCATCACACTATGCCTCCTGGCCCCCCCTTCTGCGGTGCCCTCCGTACCCACGCCCTCGCTCGCAACCCCGGCCCCTCCCCAGTCAGGTGTGGCCAGGCCTGGAAGAGGCCGCAGGCCCCCGGGTTGGTTGGCTGACTACGTGGTGTAGTGTATGTGGTGTAAAATTAGTTTAGAGGTTTTTTTTTTGTGTGTCTTTGTTTGACTGTTTTTTTCTTGCATTATTGTTTTTTATGAATGCATTGTTTTCCTTTTGTTAGTTCAAATGTGCATTGTCATTTCCTTTTAACTTGGGGAGATGTGAGATTGCGAGATGGAGTACAATCGTGCGATATGTTTTCCCATATATATATATATATATATATATATATATATATATATATATATATATATATATATATATACACACAGTCGGCCCTTCACATACGCGGGTTTAGCATACACGGATTCGCAAATACGCGGATTGCCCCGCCGGAGGAATATTCTGTACATTGAAGTAATTGAAGTACATTCAAATCGCGCGCGGCACCGAACACGGGACACCGCCCGCTCCCGCAACCTCACACACACACGCATAGCTCTCCCTCACTCAGTCAGTCTCGCTGTAACCACGCTTGTGTTGACATCAGCATTGTAGTTGCAAAAATATTACATTTCCGTGAATGTATTATATCAAGCACAGTATGAATAGAATATCACTAATATAAGAGTATTTTAACCGAAAACTACTAAAAAAACGAGTAACATATCTTGAACATCGGAAGGCTAGGTAAAGTCTTTTGTTTTCATGCAGTTTATCCTAATTTACATTGAAATGCATTACGTTTCAGCAAAACTACTATTTATTTCTGAGAATA